GCACATAGATCTATTTCCCCATCCTCATATATAAATATATTTGCATACATACATGTCTTTATCTAGACTTCTATAAATGCCCTGTGCCTCCTAGCTCTTCCTCTATTTCCTATGACTTTCCTCCTGTCCCACTATCATGCTCAGTCTTCATTTGGGTTCCAGTAATTCCTCTTGGTTACATGACCCTTGATCACGCCCTATCAGGCCTCCCATACCCTCCTCACCACCGATTTGGATCACTTTTTTTCCCTTGTCCCTGGGTTTGTTAATACCACTTCCTTCCTCCCCCAACTTCTCTCCCTTGTCCCCCTGGAACCATCGGTCCCATTGTTTTCTCCGCAGTCCTCTGATCGATGTGTTTTCAACATAAAGGGGTGGACTCTGTGTCCACTGTATCTTTGAATGACAAGTTCATGAGTGATTTCTAATGTGTTTTTTTTTTCTTAATATAAATATTCCCTTACAGCTTGGGAGACTTTGTTTTGATTACTCAGATAGGAAAGGAGAGGTAATATAATAAATGCCTGTGAATATACCCCCTACATCTCTAGAATGTCATGATTTTGCCGATTTGCACCAGTTTTCCCTTTGGGCCCATTTTTTATTTGCTCAAGTTTCTATATTGCTTTCTTTTGGATTGAGATTACTGTGTTTTATTTTGTTGTCATTGTTGGGTTATTTTTTTAATAATCATTTTATTAGGGGCTCATACAATTCATCACAATCCGTACATACATCATTTGTGCCCAGCACATTAGTACATATGTTGACTTCATCATTCTCACAACACCGGCTTTCTACTTGAGCCCTTGGTGTCAGCTCCTCATTTTTCCCCCTCCCTCCCCGCTCCCCTCTCCCCCTGAACCCTTGATAATTTATACATTATTATTATTTTATCATATCTTACCCCATCCAACGTCTCCCTCACCCACTTCTCCACTGTCCGTCCCCTAGGGAGGAGGCCATATGTAGACCTTGTCATCTGTTCCCTCTTTCTCCCTCACCTTCCCTCCACCCTCCCGATATTGCCACTCTCTCCACTGGTCCTGGGGGGTTCATCTGTCCTGGGCTCACTGTATTTCCAGTTCCTATCTGTGCCAGTGTACATCCTCCCATCCAGCCGGATATGTAAGGTAGACTTGGGATCATGGTAGTGGGGGGGTGGAAGCATTTAAGAACTAGGAAAAAATTGCATATTTCATTGTTGCTACACTGCACTCTGATTGGCTCCTCTCCTCCCCGCAGCCCTTTTGCAAGGGGATGTCCAATTTCTCCCGGATGGGCCCTGGGTCCCCACTCTGCACTCCCCCTCATTCACAATGTTATGATTTTTTTTTTTTTGTCTTTGATGCCTGATACTGATCCCTTTGCCACCTTGTCATCTTACAGGCTGGTGTGCTTCTTCCATGTGGGCTTTGTTGTTTCTCAGTTAGATGGCCCCTTGTTTATCTTCCAGCATGTGGGACCCTAGATTCTATGTAATTTATTTTGTTTGACTTTCTTGATAGGTAATTCCATAGAGGCAGTAACTAAACTAATAGTTCCTTAGGGTTGTTGCAAGGAGCTCTGGTAACTCAGTGGATATGTGTTGGGTTGCTGCTAACCGCAAGATCAGCAGTTCCAAACCATCAGCCACTCCTTGGGAGAAAGACAGGGCTTTCTACTCCCATAAGAGTGATGTTTTCACAGAGAGTGGCTGCCCTGGACCTGTGGAAGTGGCAGTCATTAGACCTTAGAGGGAACCCCGGGTTTGGTGGGTGTCCAATGGAAAGGGATCCAAAATCACCATATATTTAGTACCTTAATGCGCAGTACCATGACAAGTTTTGAGTTTGGGTAAGGATTTGAACTTGGAAGAACTGATCCAGGAAGTTTCCGCCGGGCACCAACCCCATGCCTAGGGTAAACAGAACTCAATCAAATGGGAGATTGATCTGTGTGGAGCAAGAACTCATGGGTGCAGCTCACGGTGGAGCTGTACTCGCATAGACTCTCCACAGCCACAGTGTCCAGAGGGATGTGTCATTAGAAAAACTGATGATGTCGCAAGTGCAGCTGCCTTATACCCCAGGAAGATGCTTGACAGGTTATACTTTTCTGATTATAAGGGCTTTTGTTTTACTGCCTTTAGTTTGCTAGTTTTTGTTTGGTTTTCATTGACTACTAGTTGGTTTGTAGCTGTTGTTGGGGTAGCTAGTCTTACGGTGTTTTGAATTTGTCATAATATGACTGCCACAGTACACCAGTCAGGCATATTCCAGGCACCAGCAGATGGAGTCGGGGCCCCCGCTTAACTCTAACCCCAATCCAAGAACAGTTAGCTCTGATCACATGCCCCTGCTCGATACTCCCCCTCATGGAATGTTCACTGAAGATCAGGGCGCTACAGAAAAGTGTGATGAAGAAAGCAGATGGTGCCCAGCTATCTAATCAGAATAGTATCTGGGGTCTTAAAGGCTTTTATTCAAACAAGCAGCCATCGAAGCGAGAAGTCAACTAAGCCCACATGGAAGAAGCACACGCACTTGTGTGATCCAAGGATAACGATGATAATAAAATTCAAATATGATGAAGGGAACAGTATCAGAGGTAAAATTATGAACACCCAATTTGTGGAAGGCTGTGGAGGGCAGTGGGAACCCAAAATCCATTTGCAGAGTAGCTAGTCAGATTATGCCTCTGGAAGATCCCCTCTAGCCACAGGCAAAGATCTAGAGCAGCCTTACTGTCCAACATAGATCATTGTCGTCCTGATTAGGCTGGATAAAGCTTGACACTTGGTCACTTGAGCTCCCTCTGAATTTGTTCTAGGTGCAAGGATCTCTTGCTTGTTCCATGACAAACACTTCTTCCCTGGCTTTTAAAATATTGGTGGTGGTCCTTTTTCCTTACTCATTGTTGGTATTTGTATCTTTATGTTACTATCGTTTAATCCTTATCACCTCATTTCATTCCTGTTCTTTATTGTTTCTGTTGGGTTTACCAGTTTGTGAAGCACAGAAGGGGTGGATGGCTAAAGACAATACATGATGTGAGTGAGGGTTTGAATGGGGAGGGAGGGATGTGGGTGGGGGGAAGATAGGGAGGGTAAGGGGATTTCGGGAGTAAACAGTGAAGGTGGTAGGGGGAGTGAGCAATGGAATTGAAGGTGATTACACAACTCATTTTAAAAGCAATTTAACCATGGGGGGAGGGAAAAGAAGGAATTCTGAAGTTGTGGTAATGATTGTATAATTTTTAAAATTTTGGGATTGTACAATTCTTGATATGATTGAACTATTGAATTTGTGCTATGTGGATTAACTGCCAATTATTTTTTTAAGAGTTATCATTTCAGAAACCCTCAGGGGCAATTCTGTCCTGTCCTGTAGGACCGCTATGAGTCGGCATCCACTCCATGGTAGCGCTTATATTTTTGGAGGGGTATGGCAGGGGAGCTTGGGGGTAATGGGGAGCTAATAAAAATGGTACAAGAATGAAGAAAATGATCTAAAATTGATTGTGATGATAGCCGCACAGCTCTTTTGAATATATTTAAACCATCGAATTGTATGATACGTGAATTATATGCCAACAAAACAGAAGGGGGAAAAGAGAGTATAATGCTCAAGGCCAACATGTTGTGATAAACTTAAAAAGCAAAACAATGATCTGGTTCTATAGCTTAAAGATGACCCCAGAGCAATCATTCTGGGGGTTCATCCAGCCTCCATGGGGCCAGGAAGTCCTAAGTTCACGTGAATTTGAAATATTGTCCCCATTTCCATCAGGATTCTTCTATAGACTCTATGATCAAACTATTCAGCAATGGTGGCCAGCCACCACTCAATTCTTCTGGCCCCATGGCAGAGAGGCAGCTGCTCAAGAAGGCAGTTAGCCACACGCTCCACTTCCTCCTCCTGGTCTTGACTCCTCTTCCTCTGTTATTTCAGGCCAACAGAGATCAACTGTTGTGCAAGCTTTTAAGAGCCCAGGAAGTCCTCACCAGACCAGGAGGGGGAACTGAAGCACGACACACACGCTGAGCCGATTTCCTCGGATTCCTGGGAAACTAGGATCCTAACCCTCCAAACCAAGGAACTAAATCCCATGAGGTGTTTGCTACATAAGCAGCCCAGGCAGCTTTTTTTTCATTGTCATCCACACAATTTGTACAACTTATGGACACGATTTACAAGCATACACAGTGCAGCCTTACCCTTAATCAAGACAATAGTAGTCATTCTTCTTCTGGATCAAACCTTTATTAATGCCCAAAATGAAAATTGTACAAAGAAAACTTTTCAAATCGGTGTGGCTGTGGGCGCAGAGATGGGGTAAACCGGTGACGTGACTTGCATCTTGCCTCCCACGGATCATGTGGTGTCATTGTTATAGCTCAGCAGGGTGCCGTGCCTCAGGACCCCTCACTCTTCAATCACCGCTTAACCCACCGAGGACTCGGGCTCCAGGGCTTGCAAGCTTGATGGAGGCGCTTTAGTTCCTCCTCATGAACCGAATAGCTCTTGACCTGGAGGGATGTTCCCGCGAAACAAAGCAACAAATGAATGACAGTAGGGCATTGTCTGGTTGATTTGACTGCCAAGTCTTTTAGGAAGATGTACACTCTACAGAGTACAGATATGTGCCTCTATCATAGGCTCAGAAGGATAGATGCGGTTCACTTCTAGCAAAAAGAAAACACACGTTTCACCATAAACAGACCTCTATAACACATTGGCTGTTTCTCCCTGAAACTAAGGTTTGCCTAGCATCGTTTGGATTTAGGATGGTTTGGGTTTTTGTTTTTCAGGAAAATTTGCAGCAAGTTTAAATGGACTTGTCATTTGCTTCCCTGAAATGTCACATTTTTGCTTAGCGACCGATTCTCAGTTTATAACAGCAAAACATGATTGCATTACCCCCTGGAACGGACAGTGAATTCATCTAACAGAAACTTGTATACTTTTATCACCATCTAGCTACCTTTGAAGAAGCTAGTCCCTATTCAGAGCATTCTTGGTTTATTTAATTCCTCGAAAACAGGTGATGGTACTCAAGCGTCTATTGCTTCAGGCAGTAAACACATTCCTATAGAAATATATAGGTGTTATTATTTTTAATTGAGTGATGTTTCCATTGACATCATTTCAGCTGGGTTTCCTTTTCTGATATATCTTCAATCTAGTGTGATTCTTGATCCTTGGACAGTCTAGACCAGGAAGTCTATGTACAGAAGATTGAGCAATGAATTATTCCAGCTGGCCACCTAGAGACAAAAGTTCTTGCCTAGACTCTGTGACTGCAGGGTACGTGGGCAGCTGACCACAGGGAAGAGAGACCTCTAAGGCCTCTGCTGGTGCTGGATTCCTTAAGGACTCTGCATTCATTCAGTGCATTCAATAAGGCCTCTGTTCTTTGCCTGAAGATGAAAAATGTATTCCCAGCGACTACTGTTTTGAAAATTGCAATGATTTTGCTATTCACTCCCCTGTGAGGGAAGTTGGAAACCCTGAACCCTTGCAGCCTAGCCTCCAATCCCCCCAGTGCTCTCTCACAGATCTGCCACCTATTTGGTCCACTCTTGTCAAAGGGAGGGACAGACTAGTTTGTACTTAATCAGAACTGTTTGATTATGTCTTCTGCCTGTACGTCCTCAGAAGAATCTGGAACACCCATTAAAGAAATCCTTGTGCCCTACTGAGAATGTCTTTCTGAAGCCCATGACCACAGACTCAGGTCACAAGGTGGCATCCTTACACAGTAGGAGTGTTTGTCAGGAGTGAAAATGTGTGAAAGAAATAAACTCTTTCCCTAGTCATTTGTTGTTATTACTCAAAGCTTGGGTCCATCATGGGATAGCCACGGGTGATTTATGTCCTACCCCAAGTGATAAAAATTCTTCTGCGAGTGTCTGCCAGCTCACAGGGAGATGCACCTCACAGGGGACAGAGGTGATGCTGAGTGAGAAAGCAGAGTGGGAAGGGGCTAAGAGCACTGGCATACTGAGCTCGCCACAAGGGTCATTTGATATGCATAACATAGAGCCTGGGGCTCTTTGTCGCATCGCCTGGGACTGCTTTCTTAGGGGCTAGAGTTGTAGGAAGAGGGAGTCCAAATTCTGCCACCAATGTGATCATCATCAGGCTTAATCTCTCTATCATGTCTCCAGGATTTCAGGGGTCCCATTAGCTCGGACAATGTAACATTCCCATCTAAGCACCATGCCAGTTCGTGGAGTAAAGCAGTGATAGCAATACTGGCTCCCATCTTCTCTCAAAACATTCTAATGATCAGATCTTAACGAAAGGTTAGGTCAAAGCATGTCCTCCTGCGGCTTTTTTTGTGCTGATGTGGATGGAGCTCAAGTGCGGAGGACGGCAGAGTCCTGTCGAAGAGTCTTGGAGAAGGAAGGAGGCTGCACAAGGCTCTGGGTGGGGCTGGACACCCGTCAACCACTCTCAGCGGAAAACACTCCACCCTCTTCCCCACTGAAGCACTCAAGCTTCTCATCCAGTTCACTGGAATCACACTTTCTCTTTTGGTTTTGACCTGTATCAAGCACCAGTGTGGGCCTAGTACGAAGACTTGTCTCCAGCTCCTACCCCGCCCGGACCCCCCTGTCTCAGACATACTCTGAAAGCACAGCCTCACACTTTTGATTGCCTCTCATCGGTCCACTCTTGCTTGGTGTTCTGCAGAGCTTGTGTCTTCCGTTCATCCACTTGGACGTAGTCTACTCTTTGCTCTTCGGAAACAAAAATTTTCTGCAGGAAGAAAGCAAAAAAGGGTTCATTATGGCTAATACAACATACAGGAAAATATCTGTCTTCTCCGGTACAATATCTCACTGTGAACTATTCGCTCCTCCTCCAACTGTGACCGTCCATGTGCAATGCCCGCCTTGCGCTTGCTTTCTGGGATTTCGACTCAGCCGTTTGGAAACTGCAGAAGTAGGAGTTCATTCACCAAGAGAGGGGAAAGTGTTCCAGAGGTTTTTTAGGATGTAAAGGGAATCATCTTAAAGGGAATCATGCTCCACACTATGTTCTATGAGCTGCTTTGGTCATAACATAAGACACAATTTTGATGACGACAGCACCCTGCTCAAATCTATGTACTTGTTGCCCACTGTTTACCATGCATGCACTATGCAGCGAGTGACCCTCCTTGGCGGTTATGATTGCTTTCATGCATGAACTCTGCCTCCTCACAAGAGCCTTTGGAGGTGGGTGTCATTCTGTATTCCTACTTTCAAAGCACAGTCTGGCTCAAAGGGGAGCAACTGCCCAGCCTGGCATTTGAGGCCCTGCATGACGTGGCCACTCTCAACTCAGGACTCCTTTTTTTTTGTGTGTGTGTGTGTGTGTGAGAGAGTGAGGCAGTGAGAGAGTGAGGCAGTGAGTGAGTGAGGCAGTGAGAGAGTGAGGCAGTGAGAGAGTGAGGCAGTGAGAGAGTGAGAATGAGACAGTGAGAGAGTGAGCTCAGGACTCCTTTTAACACTCCCTGGAAGCAGCAGTCAGGAGATCAAACACCGCATCACATTGGGTCAACCTGCTGCACCAGACCTCTTTCAAGAGTTGAAAAACAAGGTTGTTACTTGGAGGACTAAGGTGCATCTGGCCCAGGCCATGGTGTTCTCCATTGGTCCATGTGCCTGTGAAAGTGGAACACTGAATGAGGAAGATTGAAGAAGTATCGGTGCATTTGAGTCCTGGTGCTGGACGAGAGTATTGAAAGTGCTGTGGGCTGCCAAGGGAACAAACACATCTCTCTTGGAAGAAGTAGGGCCAGAGCGCTCCTTAGAGGCAAGGATGGTGAGACTCCTTACATACTTTGGACACATTGTCAGGAGAGACAAGTCCCTGGAGAGGAACATCACACTTGGTAAAGTGGATGGGGCAGCAAAGAGAGGAAGGCCGTCAAGATAGAACGACACAGTGGCTGCAATAATGGGCTCAAGCACAGGACCCACTTCATTCTGTTGTGCAGATGTTCTTTTTGAATTGGAACCGACATAATGGCACCTAACAAGACCCAGCTTGCCCATTGGACGATGAGTTGTTCTCTAAGGAGTTCTTTCCTCTGCCTGTAGCGCCCTTTCCCACCCCACCCTGCCCCACCACCCCCAAACGCTTTATGGTCCAAATGTTGAAGAACTGGAATATAGCAGATACATAGACACACATATAAAATGCCCTAGAAGGAAACATGGTAGAATGTCCTGATTTTAATGTTCTTTGTGACACATGGTGACATTTTCAGCTTTTCTAAAGAGAGCATGCATGGCTCGCCGGATAAATCTAAACAGAAACCAAATGGCTTGGGAAGTGTCCGACACAAGAGCATACCTTCTGTCCAGTGGCTGGTGGCGGCGAATTGAAGTCCAGAGCTAAATAGTCCAGGCTGAATGGATTTGTACAATCAAAAGCACCACTGCCCAGGGAGTTGGCATCTCTGTGCTCCTGCTGGGAACCAACATCACAGGACTCAGGTTAATGGTTTCTCAGCTGGTTGTCGCCACTTGAACAGCTGCCATCGGATCACAATTGAGTGGTCAGATGACAGCTCAGGAAGTCAGACTGAACATCTGATCAAGAGCTGGAGCTGATAACACAATCGGCCACCACTGGGAAACGTTGGAAGAGATCTTGGCAAGCTGTTTTCCTGGTGAGGACTGGCAAACACAAAGCGTGCAAGAGTCGGCTTCCCCTGCTTATTGCCTTCTCTGTCCTTGCCAAAGACGCTAAACGTCATCTGGAATTCCGTGTTTACCATTGCTTTTCTACTTTTCTCTCTTTAAATCATTTCGTTGGGGGCTCTTACAGCTCCTATCACAATGCATACATCCATTGTCTCAAGCACATTTATACAGATGTCACCATCATCATTTTCAAAACATTTTCTTTCTACTTGAGCCTTTGGTATCAGCTCCTCTTTCGTCCCTCCCTCCCCCGCCCTCGTGACCCCTTGACAATTTATAAATTATCATTTTTCATACCTTACACCATCCGCTGTCTCCCTTCACCCACGTTTCAGTTGTTCATCCCCCTCGGGGGAAAGGTTATATGTTGATCATTGTGATCCCCCTTCCTCCCCCCCCTGTCCCCGCCCCCTCCTGATGTCCCTGCTCTCACCATTGGTCCTGAGGGGTTTATCTGTCCTGGATTCCGTGTGTCAAGAGCTCTTATCTGTACTCATGTACATGCTCTGGTCTAGCGGATTTGTAAGGTAGAACTGGGGTCATGATAGTGGGGCGGGGGGAGCATTAAAGAACTAGAGGAAAGTTATGTGTTTTGTCAGTGCTATACTGCACCCTGGATGGCTTGTCCTCTTTCCTTGTGACCCTTCAGTGAGGGATGTCCATCCTTTTTTATTTAAATTTAATTTTATTCCTATATAATGATCCTTAGATAATGTACTGTTTAGCTTTGGCTGTGTTTGAACTTTAAATCAATAAAGTCATATTGCATAACTGTCAGTGACTTAAATTTGCATTCAGTGTCATGTATCTAGTAGTCCTCCACATCAGTGCATTAGCTTCACTGCATTCTCTTTCACTGCTGTAGAGAACACCACTGCATGATGGATGTGACCATTCTATCTTCAGCGAACATTAAGTTATTTGCAGTTTAGGAGGAGCTGTGTAAAACAATGTTGCCGCGAACATTTCTACACCTGTGTAAGAACTAAGTGCAAATAGTTCTAGATGTTCAGCTGAGAGTAGACTTGCTGGCAAGTAGAATGTATGCATCTTCGATTTTGCTAAAGAGCATCAAATGATTTTCCAAAGCGGTTTAACCACTTGGGTAAGGACGCTGCTTAGGACGCGCACAGATGGAGATGCGCTACATTTTAAGGCTGAGTACATTGTGGGAACCACTGGGACATGCGGAGAATGGGAAAGAGCCCGGCGGACCTATTGTTCCACATTTGGTCAACACTCTAATATTTTTCTGACCTGGTGGGATAAAAGGGCATCATATTGTGGTTGTATTTTTTACTCCCCTGATTAATTAGCTTGGGCATCTCTTCATATGTTAAAAAGTTATTTATTTGTTATCTTCTGTGAAATGCCTTCTCAATTTGGGGCTATTTAAAAAATCATTTTATTGGGGGTTCTTACGGCTCTTATCACAATCCATATGTACATCCATTGTCTCAAGCACATTTGTACATAGTTGCCATCATCATTTTCAAAATATTTTCTTTCTACTTGAGCCCTTGGTATCAGCTCCTCATTTTTTTCTCTCCCTGCTCCACCCTCCCAACCTCATGAACCCTTGTTAATTTATAAATTATTATTTTCATTTCTTATGCCATCCACTGTCTCCCTTCACCCATATTTCTGCTGATCACCCTGGGTGAGTGGGTGGAGGATTATATGTCAATCATTGTGATCGATTCATCCCTTCTTCCCCCACCTTCCCCCTACCCTCATGGTATCACTACTCCCATTACTGTTCCTGAGGGGTTCATCTGTCCTGGATGCTGCGTGTCAAGAGCTCTTATCTATACTGGTGTACATGCTTCAATCTAGCCGGATTTGTAAGGTAGAACTGGGGTCATGATGGTAGGGGAGGGAGGAGGAAGCATTAAAGAACTAGAGGAATGTTGTGTGTTTCGTCAGTGATATACTGCACCCTGGCTGGCTTGTCCCTTCCTTGTGACCCTTCTGTGAGGGGACGTCCAATTGTCTACAGATGGGCTTTGGGTCTTCACTCCACTCCCCCACATTCACATCAATATCTTTCAAGTCTTTAAAACCCCAGATGCTATGTCTTCTGATCTCCAGGCACCATCAGTTTTCTTCACTACATTTGCTTATGCACCCTTTTGGTCTTCTGTGATCATGTTGGGAAGGCGAGCATCATGGAATGCCAGGTTAATAGAACAAAGTGTTCTTGCATTAAGGGAGTACTTGAGTAGAAGCCCAATATCTATCTGCTACCTTAATACTTAACATATAAATATATGTACATAGATCTATGTCCCTATCATTATATATAAATATATTTACAAATGGACGTACCTGTATTTAGACCTCTATACATATCCTTTGCCACCTAACTCTTTCCTCTATTTTCTTTTACTTTACCCTTGACCCACAATCATGTTCGACCTTCATTTGGCCCTCAATAATTCCTTTCGGCTACATTGCACTTGATCAAACCCCAGCAGGCATTCTATGCCCTCCGTGCCATCCATTTTAGATCCATTGTTGTTCATCCTTTTTCTTAAGGAGCCCTGGCAGCACAAAGGGTGAAAGGCTCAGCTACTAACCAAAAAGTTAACAGTTCAAACCTACCCAGTAACTGCAGGAGAAAACCCCAGCAATCTATCTCCTTCTGGGAAGATTACAGGCAAGACAACTCTAGGGGCAGCTCTACTTTGTCACACTGGGTCACTGTGCATTTCAAGGCAACACACTTTTAATGCAACACACTCTGTCAGTAGGAAAACAGGGAGGAGCCCATCAGGTAAAAACGCTTACAATACGTATGTGGAACCCAAGGGGAAAATGTACCTGCTCCTAGGTTCCTATTTGGACACTTTGGGCCTAATTTCTATGCAATCCATGTGCTATAGATTTCTGAGACTTAAGACTTTGTTCTTTTGAGGTCCATAACATTCTCAATAGGCCACACCAGAAAGACTCGGTGTGGAAACCCCACTAAGTGAACTAGGCTTTAGCTCAAACTGACCTGTAGCCATTGGACTTAAGGCTGAAACTCCCTGGTGTGAGAAGAAGCAGATGACTACTAGCCCACGGGCCTAGAACTGGTAGTTGCTGGACTTTGATTTGAAATTTTTGTCTTGAGGGTGCCCAATGGACGATGGCTCCGAACTATTGTACACTTACTATTTATTGTAATGCCTTCCGTGCTTCATGATTATGTGTATTCATCTGATTGGCGTGACTCTGTTTCTGTGAATAAATACTATTGGAAGATTTGCCCTATCAGCAACCATCGTTGTTTGTGTAAACAGTGACCAGTCAATTAAGAGGTTAATCTGTAAAGTCAATAATTCTTGCATATTAGTTCATAGCTGGCCTATACTCGTACAATTTCCTTTTCTCAATAATGTTTTAAATTCTATGCCATTGGCTAAACTAATGACACTATAAATATGTAGTGGTTACACATTGGTCAGCAGATTGAAACCACCAGCCAGCTCCACAGGGGAAGGATGAGGCTTTCTAGTCCTGTGAAGATTTCCAGGCTCAGAGATGCAGAGGCAGTTCTACCTTGCCCTATACTATAGGTTCTCAACCTGTGGGTCGCGATCCCTTTGGGGGGGGTGTCAAACAACCCTTTCATAGGGGTCACCTGATTCATAACAGTAGCAAAATGACAGTTATGAAGTAGCAACAAAAATAATGTTATGGTTGGGGGTCACCACAACATGAGGAACTGTACTAAAGGGTCGCGGCATTAGGAAGGTTGAGAACCACTGCTCTAGAGGGTCCCTCTGAATCAGCCTTGGCTTTATGGCAATGGAAGTGATGATGCAGGGGGGTGATTGATAATGTTCTCTACCACAAAATTCCAATGATCTCCCTAAGGTGAACCAGAGACATATATGAACCATACATACATGAATGGATTTTGGGCTTGCACCGAATTCAAGTCCCAATATAAGAACAATTAGTTCTTATGGCATGACCCTGCTTGATACTCGCTTTCATGAAGAGATCACTGAAGATACAGGTGTTTCAGCAAAGTGTGAAGAAACAAGATGGTGCCTGGGTATCAGAAAGAATAGTGTATGGGGTCTTAAAGGTCTGTTTTCAAAGAAGTATCCATCTAGGTGAGACATCAACTAAGTCCCCATGGAAGAAGCACACCAGCCTGTGTGACCCAAGGATTGTAAATAATATAATCCAAATCTAAAAGAGGGAATGGTTTCAGAGCTTAAATTGTGAACACTTGGTTTGCAGAAGGCTATGGACAATATTGGAAGCCCAAGATCCATTTACAGGATCCACACATGGATTAAGCCTCTGGTGAATCCCCTCTGACCGTAGTCGAGGGTTGTGAATAGGCCTGTTATCAGACAGACAACATTGTAAAGTTGATCTTAGCAGACATAGTTGGACTAAAATGTAGGATAACATCTTTTGATCTCCATTTTAAAGCTGTTTCAGTGGAGGTTTTTTTTTAAGTGAAAAGGAAATAAATACATGTGGATTAAGCCACTGGAGAATCCCCTCTAACCATGGACTAGGGATGTGAATAGCCTTGCTATCATGCAGAAAGCAATGGAAAGTGGATTGTTGCAGATGCAGTCAGGTTAAAATTCAGTAAACTATCATTTTATTTCCCTATGATCCACTTAAATTTGTTCCGGTTTTTAATATTTTCTTTATTTTTGATTGAGGTTTTTATGTTTTACTTTGTTATTGTCATTCATTTTTGCTTTTGTTTAATGTTTTCCTGTATATGAAATCCAGGAGAGGTAAATC